TCTCCCCCTCGTCCATCCCTCCCCTCCTCTCTTTCCTCCTCATCCTCCCCCCCTCCTCTTTTTCCCTCTCGTCGTCCTCCTCTTTCACCCCATCTCCCTCCTCCTAATACAACCCCGTGCCGCTCCCTTGTACAGGAGGAGCGCGATGCCTACTGAGGGAGGGTCCTGGGCTGAGCTGAAGCGCGGATGTGTGGGACCTTCGAGAGTTTGTCCGTCCTGGAGTTGACCGAAGGCCATGTGGTGGGATGCATCGCCAGCAGGGTTCTAGCGGCAAAAGCATTCATCCTCCAGGGCGCCCCCGCTGGTTGGTTCAGGCTCTCGTGCTTAGCAACCCTCTGGGTGGGTTGGAGGCCCAACATCTAAACCATCACAATATGTGATGCTTTTCGCACTCCTCACTCTGCCATCCGCCATCACTCTCTTCGAGTGCAGGCCCGACGACACGTGTCGTGTCGCAACCTCTGGCGTCAGCACCAGCGTGCTTCTTGAACGTAGAGCTTCCTGATGCCCGTGTGCTGCTCTGGTCTCCAATGGCCAGACCACCCTTCCAAGCAAACGTAACATAGCCAGCGCGAACTGGTGCTTCCAGAAAACACATTCTGTAGAGGGACACGCCCGACTTAAGGTCAGCCTGACCCCTCGAGTCCTCCCTGATTCTCGAGCGGTGGCTGGGAAGACCGGTCAGAAGCGAGCTCGGGGCCCAGACATGCGGCGTCCTGCTTTTTGTCTATGCACGGTCCCTGGAAAACTCGGGCCGGACGAGAGGGGGGGATAGGGAAAGGGGGGGGTTACGAAATCTGCTGCGTGCAGCCGGTTCCGACCCCACCGCGGGGCCCATTCCTCGATACATGGCCGCCCCCGGCGCTGGGAGGCGCTGGGGAAGTCAGCTACGTGAGCTGATTCTCAACCCCCCCCTTTGCTATCCCCCCCTTTTCGCCCGGCCCGAAAGACCCTGCCCTTTCCCCAGGGCCTTTTTTTTGCACCCCGAGCCGTTTGTTGTTCGGCCCCAGGGCACGGTACGGGCCCCCAGAGGCTGCACACAGCAAGACAACGTCCGTCGTGATTCAGGAGGGAAAGAAACACACAGACACAATTAATCGTCGATTCCCAGGAAAAGATGGGAAAATATGGGAAGTGGGGGGGAAGACGAAAACCCAGAAGATATGGGAGAATATGGGGAATCCTGTTATTTGTGTGTATTTATCTGTGTGTCCCAGAGCCCCTTCAGTGATTTCTTCATGATTCGCCGGGGTGCAGGGGAGGGGGGCCTGGCGGCCTTTCCCCAATCAGCGCTTGCACTGCAGGGGTAGGGGGCCACATGCGAACCCCGCCCCTACCCCCCACGATTTCTGAGGGGGAGGGTTCGCATGTGGCCCCCTAAGGGGTCTTCGCGGAAGTTGAAAGATTTGGCGAAAGTTTCCCGCCGATTGTGGCAGCAGGCTGGATTGCCGGGTTCCCGGGTTCCCGATCATTGGTTCTGGCCCGATTTCGGTGGGTTTGGACTCCCGGGCTCCCGGGTTCCTGGTCGATCTCCTCAGCGAAAGCCATCCAGTAATATTGGGGTTGCTCTCTTGTGTAATTTGGGACGCCTCGGCGGGGATCGGCGTCGCCGTTGGGGAGGCTTTCGTTGTCTCCTTCTGCACGTGGCCCTGCGCCGTCTGCGCGCAGGAGTGACCGGCGCCGGCGTCGTCGTTTTTGGGAGGTCTTCGGAGGTCGTTTGTATTTTCAAGCCTCGGGGGTCTGGTTTCGGGCCCCAGCGCCGTCACACACGGATCGAGGGCGAAAAATTGTATTAGGTGGACCTCGTGAGGGATCCAGGGACTTATTTTGAGCGGATTTGGTTTCATTGTTTTTTCCGACCTGTGATTTTTTGGGATCCCAACCAGTTCAGACCCCCCAGCCGCCTCGAAGCACGATCGAGCTTTGGTGCTTTCTGTTGCGCTCACCAGCTATCCTCGCCGCCACGGCTGGACGCAGCCGCAGAGAATGGCCAGCAAGGAAGTCCGCTTCTGGTATATGCGGCCCCGATGAATAGACGTGCATATTACGACAACGATCGCCGATGAGAATACCGAACTGCGTATAAGGTGCCACGATAACACGATAACAGTGCCAGGAGGCTGTGAGTGCTCGTGCTGGGGTGTTCCGTCACAGCATGCACAGGTGTGGCAGGATGCAAAAAGCTGTTTCTCGAAGTAGAAATCTACAGAAGCACATACTTTCGATTGTCCGCGCGGATTCCTTGGACCCGTGCTGCGCGCGCGACGGCGAGAGTTGCAGCGCGGATCCAAGAAGTCCGTGCGGACCGTCGAACGTTTATGACTATGCCTGTTTTGTTTTGTTCGTCTAGGAATGCAACTTCGTTTTAATCGGGGGAGCATCTCATTGCCCAAACGCACTTGGCCTCTTTCGCGGTGTGTAAAGCTTGCCAGACTCCGTAGGTAAGCCCTCAAGCCAGTCGGCCCTGGCTGACGACTGCGGTTTGGAACACATGTGAGACATCAAACGAGCGCCGGGTCAGGCTTCGCAAGACGGATCATCAACTAATTACCCCCTCCTTCCGTAGTCATTTCGGCTCAACCCATTTCGGACAAAGACCTTCGCGTTGGTACCACGCGCCAGATCACGCCCTCGAGGCGCCGACTCGAAAGGATGGCCCGCTCCAGCTCGTTGCTGCTCGCCTGCATGTTTGCGGCCGCCCTGTTTGCGTTCCTCGGCTTGCGCTCGCTGTCGTTTGCCGGCACGTCGTGGGCACCGGCGCTGCGATCGTCGGCTCCGGCCGTCGAGAGGGCCGGCTACGGCGGGAGCTCTGGCGGCAAGAACTACTGGGAGAAGTGGGAGACCGGCGACTACTACCTGAGGCCCCCCGAGGGCACCTACCTGCAGGGGTTCGAGTACGGGCGGAACCAGCTGGCGGACGGCCGCACCGCGGGCGACGAGAAGGGCGTGGCCAGCAAGGGCCCGGACATCAACATCGTGCTCGCGGCAACCGTGTTTTTCGTCGCCTCGGTCTACGCGAACTACGCCGGCTTCTTCAACCCGTGAGTAGGCGTAAGTCGGGCCGGGCCTGTCCCCCTACAGGGGGGATCTCCCAAAGATCGTCAAAAAAATAGTCAGGGGACGATTCTTGAATGTGTTTGCATCTGTACCCGGTATTTCTGATTATTTTTCAGTTCTCGTCCAAGATGCGCCTGCAGGGGGACACGCCCGACCTGAGAGTAGGCTCCCGTCGAGCCAATTCTGAGCCCGGCGCGCGCCGGGCGCGCCGGGGAGTTTTCGGGGCCCCTCGGGCCGACGCTCGCGCGCGGCGCAGTCTTCCTCGGTGCAGCCGCCGGTTCGTTATCGGCGGTGTCTGAGCGGCCTCAGACTCTCGGCGCGGCCGCGCCGCTGCTCAGAGCGGGGAGGGGGGCTTGGAAAAGGAGGCGGGCGGAGAGGCGGAGCAGACCCAGCGCGCTCGTTCGCTGGCAGCCAGAGGCGCCCAGGCGACCGCTGCTGCGTGTAGCGTGGCAGCGGAGATAAAACAAAAAACAACTAATTACCCCTCTCCTCCTCCTCCTGCTCCTCCTCCTCCTCCTCCTCCTCCTCCTCCGCCTCCTCGTCATTTTTTATCGTCCCATCCTCCTCATCCTCATCCTCATCATCACCACCATCATCCTGCTCCTCCTAATCATCACCACGCGCATCATCATCCCCATCATCAGAACCATTACCGCCATCATCGTCATCATCATCATCATCACCACCATCATCATCATCATCATCATCATCATCATCATCATCATCATCAACAGTATTCTCATCATCACCAGCATTATCATCAGCAGCAGCAGCAGCAGCAGCAGCATCAGCATCATCATCATCATCATCATCATCATCATCATCATCATCATCATCATCATCATCATCACCATCATCATCATCACCGTCATCCTTATCACCATCACCATCACCATCACTACCATCACCATCGCCATCATCCTCGTCATCATCCTCGTGATCTTTCTTCGCTTCCTCCCCTCCCCCCGCCCCTCTCCCATCGCGAAGCGCCTGCAACCGAAAAATGGGCCACCTCCATCTTGGTGGTAACTCTCATCCAAAACGCATCGTTGACCACATCGCCGAGAGCGTCCTGGTTCTCTCATCGTGCTCACGGGTGGAACCATCAAGGTACTGCCGAGGGCCCCCCTTGCCTTATCTGCCCTGGCTTCTCCCCCTCGTCCCGTCCCCTCCCCTCCTCATCCTTCCTCCTCCTCCCCTCCCTCCCCCTCGTCCCTCCCTCCCCTCCTCTCTCTCCTCCTCTCTCTCCTCCTCATCCTCCCCCCCTCCTCTTTTTCCCTCTCGTCGTCCTCCTCTTTCACCCCATCTCCCCCCTCCTAATACCACCCCGTGCCGCTCCCTTGTACAGGAGGAGCGCGATGCCTACTGAGGGAGGGTCCTGGGCTGAGCTGAAGCGCGGATGGGTGGGACCTTCGAGAGTTCGTCCATCCTGGAGTTGACCGGAGGCCACGTGGTGGGATGCATCGCCAGCAGGGTTCTAGCGGTAAAAGCATTCATCCTCCAGGGCACCCCCGCTGGTTGGTTCAGGCTCTCGTGCTTAGCAACCCTCTGGGTGGGTTGGAGGCCCAACATCTAAACCATCACAATATGTGATGCTTTTCTCAGTACTCACTCTGCCATCCGCTATCACTCTCTTCGAGTGCAGGCCCGACGACACGTGTCGTGTCGCAACCTCTGGCGTCAGCACCAGCGTGCTTCTTGAACGTAGAGCTTCCTGATGCCCGTGTGCTGCTCTGGTCTCCAATGGCCAGACCGCCCTTCCAAGCAAACGTAACATAGCCAGCGCGAACTGGTGCTTCCAGAAAACACACTCTACACCATCACCATCCCAGAGTGGTGTCAGATAGCCATCGATCAGTTGCCCCGTGAGGTATCTGATGCTTACAGGTGTTGTCCACGTGCTCCCCCCCGGCGCCCCAGCGCCGTGCCTCCCCGGGTCGCAGGCAGCGCAAACTGCTCCGTGCTGGCGCTGCTGCCGGCGCGGCGGGGAGCGGGCTACGGCGCGGTCAACTCGAGCACATCGTCTTGGGGAGCAGGCGCGTTCGTGGCGTCGCCGCGGAGGCAGGGGGAAGATGTAGACGAATTAGAGAAGGAAGCATGAGAGGGGATCCGCTTGAGGGGTGGGATGACGACGACAAGCGAGCGCGCCGGCCGAGGCATCAAACGGATGAGCCTCCCACGTGCATTGCTGGACGCTTCATGGAGGTGAGCGCTGCACGTCCTCTTGGGGAGCACATCCCTCTCTGCACATCAGAGATATTCGGAGGCTCTTGGATGTATTTTTGTTGGAGTTTGCCGGGCCCCGAGGTGTTCTCCATCAGCCTGCGCCTCACCGAGAGAGGCGTCCCAGGGTACCCGGATGGTCCCGAACGACAGCCCGAAAGCCAGCCACCAGAGGGCAGCAGGAGAAGGGGCACGGAGAGGCGACCTTTCTTGGGGTGCTCTGGGTACCCCCGTAGACCTCTGGAGACCTGCGAGGAGGGAGGAGGAGGAGGGAGCAGGAGGAGGAGGAGCAGGAGGAGAAGATGAAAAGATGGTGGAAGAGGCGGAGGAGGAGGATGAGGAGAAGGCGGAGAGGGGGAAAGAGGAGGAGGAGGAGCAGGGGGAGGAGGAGGAAAGGGGAGGAGGAGGAGGAGGAGGAGGAGGAGGAGGAGGAGGAGGAGGAGAAGAAGGAGGAGGAAAAGGAGGAGGAGGAGGAGGAGGAGGAGGAGGAGGAGGGGAGCTCCCTCTTCACATTCTGGAGGGTGCCACGAGAGGCGCTCCTGTTTCACCTACGTACTTTATGGATGATAGCCAGTCCATAATAGACTTCTTCGTGATCGACAAACGTTTGGAAAGGTGGGTGAAATATGTACTGAGGACTGAGGTTCAAGGCGTCGTCTGCGATTGAGTTCGTGAAAGTGCCCAAACAGTACCAGCAGCCGCCAGGCAAACATATCATCGGTACTATGCCAGATTTTGCTTGTGAGAGATATGTGGGCATGAACGATAAACCTGGCAACCTTTTTCATTAGATCGGAAGCGAGCCCGTGGACAAGCAGTACAGTGTACACGGTGACCAACGCCAGAAAACAGTCGACATGATGACAGAGGTGCACGACGAATGGAATTATTTAGCAAGGAAGGGTGTGTTGACGCTCGCGGGATTTGATGCACTTGGCCTGGCAGGTGGAGCAGAGCCTGAGTGGGAGATGCAAGCCCTCAGAAAAGTCCTGCTCACGCGCACGTGCCACAAGCTGGACCCCCAGCGTGCGCCCTCTTGGGCAATACGTCGGCTTGGATAGATAGATTCACGCTTTCTGGATGGCAAGACAACGAAATACTGGTACAAACTTGTGAACGACTTGGTGAAGCTCCCCACGAGGAAGAAGGGCCCATTCAGCTGCTGCTGGAAAGAAGGAGCAGCTTACTGGAAGCCATTACTTAGCAGTGTGGGCAGCCTCGCCAAAGTTGACAATGGTTTTGGGATGGTATGGATGCAGGAGGTTCGCAGCTATGCTCGACACGTCCATGGCCAGATCCTGTTGCCTACGGCGGAGACCAGAACGCGCATGTGGAAGTAGTGGTGTGACGATGCTATGGGCAATGGTGCCAGGGCAGCTCATGGGCATCTGAAGGATAAGCTGATGCCCCTGAGCCCGAAGTTCGAAGGTGGGGCTGAGGACGGACTCGCATGTGTATCACTGGATTCACAGGCGCAAGCAGAGCTGGACAAGTGGAGAAAGGCACGGCAGTGTGGATCGTCGCTCAGTACGTTAAAGTGGCCAGCTTGCACATCAACTGTCATGAAGCTACCCGCGCCAGGCGACATACGCTACCATGGCAAATTATTCAAGTTGAACGCGTGCCAGGCAAGCGGGTGGCACCCACGACGCGATGCGTTGCTCGATGATGACGCTCCCACTGTCTTCGGTAAGGTATTACTTCTCATGGAAATGGAGGGCGCTGCTCCGCTGTCCATGCGACGCCTCGTTGTCATGCGGGCCCCGCAAGCCTACTGGAGGCCGCGGGCCTTTAGGTTTCTACCCTGCCCCTGCGTGAATCAGTTGACGGTTTGGCAAGCGCAGGATGAGACAGTGGGAAGTTGAGAAAAGGACTTGGCTCAGCGTGCTCCGTGGGGCAACACAGAGGACCAGGGGGCACTGCATGGCGTCAGGCAGGTCTGGCAGACGGCCGTGCACACACGAACCAGCATTCCGTATCCGTGATTTGTGACCTTTTGCAGTTCTACGAACATGCACCTTGGGGCATCATTATCGAGGATGTTACTTGGGCAGACTTTCCCATTGCAGTGGCGGAGCTCTCTATGTCTACTTATGCATGGCAAAGGTCGCTGAAGCACGATCATATTCTCATGGGCCCAGTCTTCCCTTGACGTGGCATTGTGCCGGGCGGCGCAGGGGCCACGTTTGAGGCGATGCTGGCATTGCTGCCCATTATAGAGGACGAGGTTTCCATGGGGCCGCGTGGACGTTCGTTGATCGCACTACATATAGATGGCCCGCCCCAACATCAATGGGTCCCTGTCATGGTGGAAGTGCTGAAAGGGATGAAAGGCTATGTGCATCGATTTGGACAGAGACTGCAGAAAGAGTCGGGCTTGCCGCTGGCCATGTGCAAACTTCGCATGACGACTTCGGGCGGTGCTATGATGGCGTGGGCGAGATGTGCGCTTGGCATCGCAGGGGGTCCAGGAGAATGTGCGAACAGAAACCTCGGCGTTGACTTCGCCGGAGGTAAACGCAAGGTCCATCCTTGAGCCCACAGAGCGCGCAGAGATGGAGGAATATGATGGCGCACGAGGAGAATATTGCAAACGTGAAGCTCAGTGGCAAACGGCGCGAGGCACGCCTCGCGGCGACCAATGCAGCCCCCGCGGTGGTGCACGGAGCGGAGGTCAACGCTTTCAGCCCTGTTCAGGTATTTCATCAAATCGCAGGCATCGAAGTCACGTGGGCAGAGTCTTCGTGGCATGAGCGTGGAGTTGGGCCGGGCATGATCTAACATCGAGGGCCCCGCGTACGTGGCCGCGGCGACCGTCGAGAGGTGTCGCGCTGAGCGGTGGGCGTCTTCTGCGCCGTGAAGTGACCTCCAGCATCCGCATGCAGATGTCTTGGGGGCCAGGCGCCTGAACAAGCTGCGCAGAGCAGCGCAGGCCAGGTTCAACCCGGCTTATAGCCAGAAATATCGGTTCCACGCGATTTGGGGCCCAATGAGTGACCTTCTCCTCTGGCGCCGCGAGGTTGGTTGGTCCTTGGAGGGCCCTTCGAGTTTTCGGGGCTTGGCAGGTCACTTGCTGGGGGCCGCCACTCTCGCCCCCGCATTCATTGTTAAACCGTTCGTTATGCAGGGTAAGGGTGCCGAAATACAAACAGTAGCTAGAGCTGCTTGCGACGCCCACTTCAACCCCGACCCAGAGGCTTCCTTGCACCAGGGGCTCTGGTGGGAACTCACTGTGAGCACTTTAAACTGCAAGCGTAGCATGACCCACAACCAACTGCACTGCTGCAGGCAGGTGTTTGGAGGGTGCGCTCCCACGGCTGACAACTTCAGAAAGTGGGGGTACAGCGTGGACCTTCTGCACATGCGGTCGCGGGAAGGTGGGCGCGGTCATCCACGGGCGTTTCGGACGCGGGCTTGCCAGTGCTGAGAGAGCAGAGATCTTCGCCGAGGAGATTCTGCAACGAGCCCTCGCATCAGGTGAATCCAGTTTTTTGTTCTCCAGAGGTTGGTTGGCTCGCCTTGATGTGCCCCTCCCGTCAGACACCCTTGCCATGTGCTGCATCGGCGTGATCCTGAGGATAGGCTGTATGAAGATGGCCCCTGCCTCAGGCCGACGGGCGGGTACTTGGCGAGGGCTGCGTGGGGGGTGGCGCGCGCGGCGCTGTTCCCGCCGCCCTGGGCCAGAGCCCGGCAGTCGGCGAGCGCGCATCAGTCGTGCAGGCGCATGCCCACATTAAGCGGCTTCCAGGGGCCAGGGGGCCCCAGCGCGTGGATTTCCAAAGTTCTATCGGGGGCTCAGGCGTCTCCGTCGTCTGCCCTGGGCCCGAAAAATGGCTCCTGACACTGCTAAGGGCAAGTTGCCCAGGATATTGATCCTGCCATCTGGGTGAGCTTCCGCAAGGTGAAGGCCCACCACGAGGAAGGCGACGCGTCGAAGCGCGCCGACCTCTTCGACATTCGAGGCAACAAGGCCGCGGACTGGTTGACGGGCCAAGGCGACCGCAGGCGCGATTTCGATCCGTTGCCAGTCGAACATGTTGATTCTGCCTTGAAGATGCATAGGGTCTTGTTTTTGGGAATGGGTAAATTCCTGTCCCTGTGGCCTCTCACTTCCGAGATGTTTGATATCAGCCAGGGATTTGCGAGGCCCGTGTTTGCAGGTCCCCATCGAGCCCACATGTCCCTCGCTGGCATTCTGATCACTGGAGGTGCTCCTGCTGTCTAAGATAGGTTTCCTCGCTGACTAAGACCCCCTGCCATGCCCTGACCCCGTCCTTGTTGAGTGTCCTGAGGACCACCGGCACTTTTGGACATCGCCTTCGCGTGTACTGGGTTGTGGGTTCGGCCCTGCAAGTGGTGTAGTGCACCCGTTGTTGGCACCACGGGACGACCAAGGCGCTGGCGTTGGGCAAGAATTGCGCTGGGAAGCCTAAATCGAAGGAGAGAAGACAGCTCTTGAACGGTAAGCTGCCGATGTCTCCTTGTTGGGTGCACGGGGCCATACCTAATAATGGTCGCGTGCTGGGCCGTTGCAGGTATTTCGCGACTGGGGTGATCCCCCTGTCCTCTTGATCTGGGCCTGTGCCTGAGTGATGTCTTGTGCGTGGTATGACTTATCTGAACTGGTATCTAATGGTCTCCATAGGAGGAGGCGGAGGCGGAGGAGGACGAGGAGGACGAGGAGGAGGAGGAGGAGGAGGAGGAGGAGGAGGAGGAGAGGAGTGGGAAGAGGAGGAGGAATGGGAGGGGGGAGGGGGAGGGATGAGGAGGAGGGAGGAGGAGGGGGAGGGGGGGAAAGGGGGGAGGAGAGGAG